AGGGGCTGCAGGTTTGGACAGTAGTGACTGGATCCGTGCGGGATGGATGGATCATCTGGGTAGTGTCAGGCGTAGTCAGGCAGGCCAGGTCAGCAACGTGCGGGCAGTGAGGTACCGGAGGAGCAGGCAGAGAATAGTCAGGGTCACAAGCCGGGTTCAGTAACTCACGGGCAGCGCGGTACAGAGGATCAGGCAGAAGGATGGTCAGGCAAGCCAGGGGTTCAACAGGAGACGGTCAGCAGAGGTCAGGATCAAAGCAGGGTCAGCAACTAGGCAGATAGGCAGGAACACAGAATACCAGGTAAAGGGGCTCATGGGAAACATACACCAAGGCACTGACTGCAGGTCTGGCCATTCCTTAAATATACCTCCTGCAATCAGCCCCAGGTGATGGCTGATTGCAGGAGTGAGCTTCTGGCTGCTGAGAGCACCCGCTGGTCAGCCCTGGTACTGCAGCCCACACGGCAGGTGAGTCCCACCACCAGTGCTGAGTCCATTCCTGATAGGGACAGAGGGCAGAGACGAGCTTCTCCACACTACAAGCTCAGGATCTGGTGTAGAAGTTCTCTCCTCCTCTGCTGCTGACTGCTGAGGTGAGGACCTGGGGGAGGGGAAATAGAGACAACTCTCTTTACAGCTGCTTAGAGAAGCGCTTAGAGAAGGATCTGATGTGGGGTGGGGGCACATAAAATGGCCTGGCGGGCCGGATTCGGCCCACGGGCCTTGTGTTCGACACATGTACTCTAAAATACCTACATCATAGGGCAAAGCAACAAGTATGACTTCCTCCATCTTAGCAGCACATACTCCTCTTTCAACCATGAGGGACAAAGTACAGAACACCCTGTACTTCAAGATATGGAGATACATGTTGTTCAGTTCCCTTTCTCTTATGTGACGTTCTACTTCCCTTTCTCTCATGTGATTGCCATGGATGTTTGGTGAGTGGCCCAGGGCTGTCTGCTGGGCCACAGTCCACTAAAAACGTCCAACGGAGCCTTTAAGAAAATGTCCTAAAGCAACTCAAGTTGTGTATCAGAAAGACCTCCTAATATAGAATTATGAGAACTGTTTTTTTTTTTAAATGGTCATATATGTAAACACAGTTATTAGTAACTCACTGCTTGTATTGAGAAAACTCATTTTTGGGCATGGGATACACTCAAAGCAGCAGATGTGGGACCCAGTCTGGACCCTTCTTTCTCCCCTTCCACATTCTTTAGAACAAACCGATTCTGGTACCTGTGTGCAAAGAGAACAATAAATGGTCGGTTTACTTTATGATATGGTCCCTATTCAGCCTCTTGTTAGAAATTTGTTCTTTAGACGTGTTTTCAGAACCAAAAGCGTTGGGCTCCTGGAAACTCAAAACCAAAGTATACCATTGAACATCCTTCAAAACGAATGAGCTCAGGTGTTTGAAGGGTGCTATTAATGCTACATGCATACAAAGGAATGTTTCACAATAGTGTGTAATAGTATGGTGAAGACCCTTTTCTGTTCTACCGTGACGGTGCTCTGTGTACAATACCAGCTCCATAAAGACATGGTTTAACCAGCTTGGAGTGGAGGAACCCGGGTGTCCTGCACAGAGCCTTGAACTCAACCCTACTGAACACCTTTGGGATCACATGGAATGGCTATTGTGAACCAGGTCTTCTCAACCAACATCAGTACCTGACCTCACCAATGGAGTTCTAGCCTTCCCCTGTACTTCCAGTCTCATGGCAACAGTCTTTGATAGATCGTTATCTGTTCCAGCATGACTGTGCACAAAGCCAGCCCCATAAAGACATGGTTTGATGTGGAGGAACCTGAGTGTCTAGCACAGAGCCCTGACCTCAACCCTACTCATCACCTTTGGGATAAATTGGAACCCCAATGGTGAGCCAGGTCTTCTCATCCAACATCAATACCTGACCTCACAAATGGGCATAAATTCCCACAGACACCTTCCAAAATCTTATGCAAAGCCTTCCCAGAAGAGTTGTAGCCACAAAGGAGGGTCAACTGCATATTAATGACCAAGGTTTTGGAGTGAGATGCCCAGCAAGCGCATTCACGTGTGATGGTTAGGTATTCACAAACCTTTTTCTGAATAGGGCATCAAACAAACCTGATTATATTGGGGGTCCGTAGTATACTGTCTATCTGATATCTCTGTCTGCCTTCATTTCCCTCCTATTTGCAGTTATATGACACAGATATTTCACAGTAATAGTGTTAGGGCCAAAGGAATTACACCACCTAAATGGCACAGATGGTAGGCTCCTTAGAATCGCAGTGACCACACAATTTAAGGCCACAGAGAACATGATCCTAAAGAAGATGTAAATTCTAAGGGAATGCCATTTGGTTCAGTCTCTACAGCCACATGGGTTTCCTGCTGGTGGCATCAATTAAACACGTGGGTTTAATTTGCCAATCCTATCGACTTGGTGTTGACCAGGTGGCAACACAGCAAAACAGTCGGGAGACCGGGCAGAGCGTTGTCACCTCATAATAGGAAGCATTAAGAAGCACCTTCATATTAGGATTGCCATTCATCATTTGTATTAAAGCTGCAGAGTTAAGTGTTGAAAATGACTGTAGACTTTACATCAACCTAGTAACCCCCTCCTGCCCAGCCTTGGCTTCCCTATAACTGGGCTACTATGCCCAGGGGGTAGGAGTTTCTGCGTGATCATGTGAACACCGCGATTGCTGTCACAGTGGTCGCATGATTGGGAACCAGTCCCACCAGCTCCCAATCATTACTAGAGCCCAGGAGGTGTCCTGGACCCACCTATTAATGTAGAATTCCAGGCTATTGCCGAAGTATACTTAAGCAAGCTCCCACCCACTTCTAAATCATATTCTAACTACCCCATGAAAGGAAGATACCTCTGAGGCCTTCCAGTCCAGTCATGTGATTGGTTCCCAGCAGCGGCTTCAGGGGAGAGGAGGACAGCCAACAACAGATTCTCCATAGCAAGCCTATGGGTGACATCACCACCCAGGCATTTCAATTGTTGCAGATCTCTCCTCTCCCTGAAACCGCTGGGGAGATCATGTGACCAGATCAAAACACCCTCAGAATAGGTAAGTATACACATCTTCTTTTCACAGGGTAGTTAGACAGGTGGGATAGGAGAAGCTTAGTTATCCAATAGCCTGGACTTCCACTTTAAGAGTGCTCTGTGCAGGGGTGGACTGACCATTCGAGCGCTTGGGCACTGCCCGAGGGCCCGGGGTCAGTAGGGGGCCCCATGAAATGCCCTTGGTACCTTTTATAGGCTTTTATGGGTGTGCTTTCAGTGTGGTCAAGGACACAGGGGCCCCATGATCCCCTATTGCCCAGGGGCCCCATGAGTTATCAGTCCTCCCCTGGCTCTGTGCCACATGGAAAATGGCAATCAACGATAAAGAGAATACAATATGGAGTTGACCCAACCAGCTTTGGAAGGGAACAATACAGGCTGCCAGATATTAGAAGCAAGGCTAGAAAATAACTTCTTGGGCCAACTCACCGTATTGTCCTTGGTGTGCCACTGGAGTTTATCATTCAACTGCAACCTCTGTGAAGTTTTACTGTAGGAGCCGACGACGGTGGCGGTTGGGGTGTCACCGCTCCAGGACCACATGACTATGTCATAGCCAGTGGCCGGGTTTCCATTACTGTCGAAATTAATGGTCTGATTGTAGAGAGTGAAATTCACGTTCTTCACCTTTTGTAGAAGCTACGGACAAAAATACAAGAATTTAACCAGTGAACGGTAAAACCTCAAAAGTACACCACCCTGCTTTGTAGAAATCGGGGATGACCCCAGTAGGAAGATGCTCCTTTGCTTCTTGTCCCAAAGACCGTGGTCATCAAGACAGGGTGTAGGCAGGTGTAAGTATAGCTGATGGTAATTTGAGGAGCAGGAACTTGTGATTTGTCAGCTTATCAAGGCCTACGAGGTGGTACAGCAATTGCAGGGTCACTAAATCACTTCCTACTTTTGTGGTCAACAAAGCAGTCATGTAGCCAATGTTATTTACTCCTGGGTGCTAGAGAAGGCCAATGTGTCCTCAGCCTTGGACTCCAGGCGCCATCTTGGGAGAGCCTGAATTTCATTGGGCACAGAGCTCTCTCAAGATTTCGGTGGCCATCTTTGACTCAGAAGGGGTTAATTATACCCCCTGCTGGGTGGTGAAGTTTCAGACAACGTAAATGTGAATGAGAGGATGGTCTTACATAGTTAGTCTGGCTGAAAAAAGACAAAAGTCCATCCAGTTCAACCATAGAAAAAAAAAAAGTTATAATCCTACACCCACAGTTGATCCAGAGGAAGGAAAAAAAAACCAGCAAAGCACGATCCAATTTCCTCCTGTATGGAAAAAAATTCCTTTCTGATCCCCCGAGAGGCAATCGGATATTCCCTGGATCAACTTTCCCTATAAATGTTATATCCAGTTATATTCTGTGTATCCAAGAAAGAATCCAGGACTTTCCTAGAGCAATCCACTGAGCTAGCCCCAACCAACTCTTGAGGGAGTCTATTCCACATTCTCACAGCTCTTACTGTGAAGAAACCTTTCCAGGCGCCATCTTGGGAGAGCCTGAATTTCATTGGGCACAGAGCTCTCTCAATATTTCGGTGGCTATCTTGGACTCATAAGGGGTTAATTATACCCCCTGCTGGGTGGTGAAGTTTCAAACAGAGACCTAAATGTGAATGAGAGGTTGGTCTTGCATTAGGGATAGGTTCCTGTCAAGTAGGGACAGCAAAGGGACACTCATGGACATCTCTGTGTCTGAGGAAGATCGGCTTAAGCCTTTCCAGCTTTCAAATGTGGCGCAAAACTGAACACCGTACTGGCTGAGACAACATCCCTTCAGGGAAGCCACCTTTGGAAGACCTTAAACCATGAATATGGGAGTGAGAGCAATAAAAAAATTTGCAGCGTGCTTTACACCACGGCATTCGACGCCTTGCATTGCACTTGGTGATGGAAGGCTTGGATGCAGCTGCTCGGCCATGGAAACCCATTCCATGAAACTCTCTACGCACTGTTGTTGGGCTCATCTGAAGGCCACACCAAGTTTGGAGGTCTTTATCTATTGACTCTGCAGACAGTTGGTGACTTCTGCGCACTGTGCGCTTCAGCATGCGCTGACCCCACTCTGTCATGTGACGTGGCCTACTACTTGGTGGCTGAGTTGCTGTTGTTCCCAGTGGCTTCCACTTTGTTATAATCCCACTAACAGTTGAGCGTGGAATATTTAGTAGCCCGGAAATGTCACGGATGGACTTATTGCACAGGTGACCACCTATCACGGGACCACACTTGGAGTCACTGAGCTCCTGAGAGCAACCCATTCTTTCACCAATGTTTGTAGAAGCAGTCTGCATGCGTAGGGGCTTGATTGTATACACCTGTGTCCATGGAGGGGATTGGATCACCTGAATCACATGATTGGGAGGGGATTGGAGCACCTGAATCACATGATTGGGAGGGGATTGGAGCACCTGAATCACATGATTGGGAGGGGATTGGAACACCTGAATCACATGATTGGGAGGGGATTGGAACACCTGAATCACATGATATGGAGGGGATTGGAACACCTGAATCACATGATTGGGAGGGGATTGGAACACCTGAATCACATGATTGGGAGGGGATTGGAACACCTGAATCACATGATTTGGAGGGGATTGGAACACCTGAATCACATGATATGGAGGGGATTGGAACACCTGAATCACATGATATGGAGGGGATTGGAACACCTGAATCACATGATTGGGAGGGGATTGGAACACCTGAATCGCATGATTAGGAGTGGGTTGGAACACCTGAATCACATGATTGGGAGGGGATTGAAACACCTGAATCACATGATTGGGAGGGGATTGGAACACCTGAATCACATGATTTGGAGGGCGGGCCCAATACGTTTGGCAATATAGTGTACCATGCCAAGTCGCCTACACTTAATTGAGCAATTAACCCTTGCAATGTGTGCGCTGCTCCAATTCTCAAATTTACAGGAGTTGGGATTTAAGGCTTGACATGTTTGGTATCTATTTACTCGGGGTAACGCCATCTTTTATACTTTACCAAAAAATGGGTAATAAATTGTGCTTATGTACACTAGAATTAGCTTTAATTTAGTTTAGGCTAAATCATACATTTTACTGCATGTGCAAAAAAAATGCAAACGCGGCTCTGGCAGAGGAAATGGTTGAATAATATGACTTACTTGCCATGGGTAGAACGTGTTGTTACTGCACTGTCCAGATTCACAGTCGAGTAGATCATGTAGGGCATTTGCGATGGCGTACACTGCAGAATAGACATTGAAAGAAGCTGACATGGCAAACAGAGTGGGGATGGGCATGGTCTGCAGTGTGAAGGCATGGCAGTCCAGGCAGACTTGGTTGCAGCCATTCTGGTCCATTGTTTCCATCTTCAGAGATGTGACATAGTCCGTTTCAAATTGGACGATCTTTGGGAAATAGACCTGGCCCACCGAAACTCCTAATACCGAGCCGATCCTTTTGGTATTGGTGAATGCTGCGATTTGAGTGTCCATTGACCAGCTTTCACTCCCGATCCAGACAAAGTCAGTGATGTTGGCATTTATGACTTCTTGAAAAAATATCCTTGCGTTTAAATAGACTGAGAAGACCACGGTCGCCTTGACTCTGGTCTGGACAATGTTGGCCACCATCTTCTTGACCACGGTTGTGTCTGTGCTGTACGGGATCAGGCCCTGGTACGCTATGCAGATGCCGTTTTTACTCGCCAAGGTATTCAAGTCTTGTAAACCCTGACGGCCATAGACATCGTCACTGCCGACTATCGCCACCCACGTCCACCGGAACCTCTGCAGCAGGTTTAGGATGACTTCTACTTGGAGCTTGTCGCTGGGGATGGTGCGAAGGAAGGATGGATAGATCTTCTTATTGCTGAGCTGCTCATGAGTGGCCGAGTAACTGATCTGAAATAAAGCAGATATTCTGTAAATGATACAGTATTCACCTCCAGCAAGTGCTTACTAAAGGTTATTCCTGAAAAGATTAACAGCTGTCTAGGCAAGACTTGAGTAACGGAACCCACTCAGTCTGCGCTTGAGTACTTCCGTTAGAACCAGGGGCAGACTGACAACTCATGGGGCCCCCGGGCAATAGGGGATCATGGGTCCCCTGTGTCCTTGCCCACACTCAAAGCACACCCAAAAAAGCCTATAAAAGGTACCAGGGGCATTTCATGGGGCCCCTACTGAGCCTGGACCCTAGGGCAGTACTCAAGTGCTCGAATGGTCAGTCCGCCCCTGGTTAGAACACCGCTTCCCCGTCCGAACATCGACCACAGACACCACAGCCGACCATACAAGACTAGACGACACCAGTCTTGAAGTAAACCAGGAAGTAGACTAGTTTATTTGAACACAGATACAAGATATATACACTCAGGGGAACAATCCCCCCTCCCTGCATAATGACACAGGGCGGGGCAATCTACATTTACTAACAAGAGACACACAGGTATTCAAACTTCACACAAACAACATTGCACCCCAGAATTTTTGGGTAGTGTTCAGGTTTCATAATGCCATTCACACGGTCAAGACATCCAGTGCCTGAAGCAGCAACCCTAAAACATCAGTGACCCCCCACCATGTGTGACTGGAGGGACTGGATTCTTTTCTTTAAAGGCCTCATTGCTTTGTCTGAAAACAGTAGAATGATGGGCTTTACCAAATAGCTGCCATTTTGTTTTGTCTGTCCCCAGCACATTCTCCCGAAAGGATTTTGGTTTCCTCAGAAAAGTTTTGGCAAACTCCAATCTGGCTTCCACCATATTTCTGTGTCAGCAGACCCCACTGCTGACACAGAAATATGGTAAGAGACCCAGGAGGACCCCACTGCTGACACAGAAATATGGTGGGAGACCCAGGAGGACCCCACTGCTGACACAGAAATATGGTAAGAAACCCAGGAGGACCCCACTGCTGACACAGAAATATGGTGGGAGACCCAGGAGGACCCCACCGCTGACACAGAAATATGGTGGGAGACCCAGGAGGACCCCACCGCTGACACAGAAATATGGTAGGAGACCCAGGAGGACCCCACTGCTGACACAGAAATATGGTAGGAGACCCAGGAGGACCCCACTGCTGACACAGAAATATGGTAGGAGACCCAGGAGGACCCCACTGCTGACACAGAAATATGGTAGGAGACCCAGGAGGACCCCACTGCTGACACAGAAATATGGTGGGAGACCCAGGAGGACCCCACTGCTGACACAGAAATATAGTAGGAGACCCAGCAGGACCCCACCGCTGACACAGAAATATGGTAGGTGACCCAGGAGAACCCCACCACTGACACAGAAATATGGGAGGAGACCCAGGAGGACCCCACCGCTGACACAGAAATATGGTAAGAGACCCAGGAGGACCCCACCGCCGACACAGAAATATGGTAAGAGACCCAGGAGGACCCCACCGCCGACACAGAAACATGGTAGGAGACCCAGAAGGACCCCACTGCTGACACAGAAATAAGGTAGGAGACCCAGGAGGACCCCACTGCCGACACAGAAATATGGTAGGAGACCCAGGAGGACCCCACTGCCGACACAGAAATATGGTAGGAGACCCAGGAGGACCCCACTGCCGACACAGAAATATGGTAAGAGACCCAGGAGGACCCCACTGCCGACACAGAAATATGGTAAGAACCCAGGAGGACCCCACTGCCGACACAGAAATATGGGAGGAGACCCAGGAGGACCCCACTGCTGACACAGAAATATGGTAGGAGACCCAGGAGGACCCCACTGCTGACACAGAAATATGGTGGGAGACCCAGGAGGACCCCACTGCTGACACAGAAATATAGTAGGAGACCCAGCAGGACCCCACTGCTGACACAGAAATATGGTAGGTGACCCAGGAGAACCCCACCGCTGACACAGAAATATGGTAAGAGACCCAGGAGGACCCCACCGCTGACACAGAAATATGGTAGGAGACCCAGGAGGACCCCACCGCTGACACAGAAATATGGTAGGAGACCCAGGAGGACCCCACCGCTGACACAGAAATATGGTAAGAGACCCAGGAGGACCCCGCCGCTGACACAGAAATATGGTAGGAGACCCAGGAGGACCCCACCGCCGACACAGAAATATGGTAAGAGACCCAGGAGGACCCCACCGCCGACACAGAAACATGGTAGGAGACCCAGGAGGACCCCACCGCCAACACAGAAACATGGTAGGAGACCCAGGAGGACCCCACTGCTGACACAGAAATAAGGTAGGAGACCCAGGAGGACCCCACTGCCGACACAGAAATATGGTAGGAGACCCAGGAGGACCCCACTGCCGACACAGAAATATGGTAGGAGACCCAGGAGGACCCCACTGCCGACACAGAAATATGGTAGGAGACCCAGGAGGACCCCACTGCTGACACAGAAATATGGTGGGAGACCCAGGAGGACCCCACTGCTGACACAGAAATATGGTGGGAGACCCAGGAGGACCCCACCGCTGACACAGAAATATGGAAGGAGACCCAGGAGGACCCCACTGCTGACACAGAAATATGGTGGGAGACCCAGGAGGACCCCACCGCTGACACAGAAATATGGAAGGAGACCCAGGAGGACCCCACCACTGACACAGAAATATGGGAAGAGACCCAGGAGGACCCCACCGCTGACACAGAAATATGGTAGGAGACCCAGGAGGACCCCACTGCTGACACAGAAATATGGTAGGAGACCCAGGAGGACCCCACCGCTGACACAGAAATATGGTAGGAGACCCAGGAGGACCCCACCGCTGACACAGAAATATGGTGGGAGACCCAGGAGGACCCCACTGCTGACACAGAAATATGGTGGGAGACCCAGGAGGACCCCACTGCTGACACAGAAATATGGTGGGAGACCCAGGAGGACCCCACTGTTGACACAGAAATATAGGAGGAGACCCAGGAGGACCCCACTGCTGACACAGAAATATGGTAAGAGACCCAGGAGGACCGCCACTGCTGACACAGAAATATGGTAAGAGACCCAGGAGGACCCCACTGCTGACAGAAATATGATCGGAGACCCAGGAGGACCCCACCGCTGACACAGAAATATGGTAAGAGACCCAGGAGGACCCCACTGCTGACACAGAAATATGGTAAGAGACCCAGGAGGACCCCACTGCTGACACAGAAGTATGGTGGGAGACCCAGGAGGACCCCACTGCTGACACAGAAATATGGTGGGAGACCCAGGAGGACCCCACTGCTGACACAGAAATATGGTGGGAGACCCAGGAGGACCCCACTGCTGACACAGAAATATGGTGGGAGACCCAGGAGGACCCCACTGCTGACACAGAAATATGGTGGGAGACCCAGGAGGACCCCACCGCTGACACAGAAATATGGTGGGAGACCCAGGAGGACCCCACTGCTGACACAGAAATATGGTGGGAGACCCAGGAGGACCCCACCGCTGACACAGAAATATGGTAGGAGACCCAGGAGGACCCCACTGCTGACATAGAAATATGGTGGGAGACCCAGGAGGACCCCACCGCTGACACAGAAATATGGTGGGAGACCCAGGAGGACCCCACTGCTGACACAGAAAATATGGTGGGAGACCCAGGAGGACCCCACTGCTGACATAGAAATATGGTGGGAGACCCAGGAGGACCCCACTGCTGACACAGAAATATGGGAGGAGACCCAGGAGGACCCCACTGCTGACACAGAAATATGGTAGGAGACCCAGGAGGACCCCAAAATGTATGGCTCCAATAACACCACACACAAACCGCATGTGATTGGCAGAGGAATGCGGTTCCTGTGTGAATCACATGCAATGTACCGAGCCGCACACATGTAAACCCGGGCTCA